AGCAACCTTGTTGTTAAGAGCATGTGCTCTCACCAGCTGAGCCATCTGGCCTCCCACTGGCAGCTCAGCAGCAGCTCAGCAGTAGCTCAGCTCGGGTGCAGCTCACTGGCCCATGTGGGAATCGAAGCAGCGACCTTGTTGCTCAGAGCTCGCGCTCTAACCAACTGTGCCACCCGACCGGCCCCCAGAACTTGTTCATCTTATAGCTGAAAGTTTGTACCCTTCGAGTAACATTTCCCTATTTATCCTATCCTTCACCCCCACCTCCACCCCGCCCAACTCCTGGCAACCACCATTCTATTCTATTTCTGAGTTTGGCTTTTTTAGATTCCAGATACTAGTGTAACTGGAAACATGCAGTATTTGTCTTTCTCTGACTTATCTCACTTAGCATAATGCCCTCAAGGTCCATCCACACTGTCGAAAACAGCAGGATTTCTTTCTTTGTTATGGCTGAATAATATTCCATTGTGTACTTGTATATATACCATATTTTCTTTATCCATTCATCCATTGATGGACACCTAGGTTGTTTCCATATCTTAGGTATTGTAAATAATGCTGCAATGAACATAGTGGTGCAGATATCTCTTTAAGATAGTGATTTCATTTCCTTTAGATAAATACCCAGAAGTGGAATTACAGTAGTTCTATTTTTTTATTTTTTGAGGGACCTCCATACTGTTTCCAAAGTAGCTGTGATAATTTGTATTCCCATTAACAGTATAAAAGGGTTCCCTTTCCTTCACAGCCTTGTCAACACTTGTCTCTAGTCTTTTTGATAACAGCCAGTCTAACAGATAAGAAGTGATATCTCACTGTGGTTTATTTTTTGTTTTGTTTTTTTTGTTTTTTTTATTTCATAGGTTTTCGTGTCTTTTTTTTTATTAGTTTCAGGTGTACAGAACAATGCGGTGTAGATGCCTGATCACTGGTTTTGATGGCACATTTCATTGATGATGAGTGATGTTCAGCATCTTTTCATATACCTGTTGGTCATTTGTATGTCATCTTTGGAAAAAAAAACTATTCAGATCCTCTGTCCATTTTTTTATTGAATTAAATTTCCTGGGGTGATATTGGTTAATACATTATACGTTTCAAGTGTACAATTCTATAATACGCTCACCTGTGTATTACATTGTATACTCACCACTCAAAGTCTAGTCTCCTTCCATCACCATATGTTTGGCCTCCTTTACTCTCTTCATCCTCTCCTTAGCCCCCTTTCCCTCTGGTAACCATCATTCTATTGTTTGTGTCTATGAGTCTGTTTACTTTCTTCGTTGGTTGCTTCCTGTTTTATATCCCACATGAGTGAAATCATATCATTCTTGTCCTTTTCCGTCTGACTTATTTCGTTTAGCATAATAATCTCAAGATCCATCCATGTTGTCGCAAATGGCACTATTTCATCTTTTCTTATGGCAGAATAGTATTCCATTGTGTATAATACCACATCTTCTCTATCCAATTATCTATTGAAGGACATTTCGATTGTTTCCATGTCTTGGGTACCATCAATAATGCTGCAATGAATATAGGGATACATGTATCTTTACAAATAAATGTTTTCAAATTTTTCAGGTAGATACCCAGAAGAGGGATTGTTGGCATTGTTTGTTTTTTTGCTATTGAGTTGTATGAGTTCCTTATATTTTGGATATTAACCCCTTATCAAATAGATGGTTTGCAAGTATTTTCTCCCATTCCAAAAGTTGCCGTTTTACTTTGCTGCTTCTTTCGCTGTGCAGAAGCTTTCCATTTTTGCCTTTGTTGCTTATTTTTGCTTTTGTTCCTTCTCCTTTTGGTATCGTATCCAAAAAATCGTTGCCACAACCAATGTCAAGAAGTTTTTCCTTATGTTTCCTTTTATTATTTTATAGTTTCAGGGCTAACATTTAAGTTTTTAATCCATTTCAGGTTCATTTTTGTGAGTGGTGTAAGATAGGGGTTAATTTCATTCTTTAGCATGTGAACACCTGTTTTTCTAGCACCATTTATTAAGGAGACTATTCTTGGCTCCCTTGTCATATTTTAGTTGACCAGATATGCATGAGTTTACTTCTGGGCTCTCAATTCTGTTCCATTGTTCTAAAGTCTGTTTTTATATCAGTACCATACTGTTTTGATTACTATTACTATTTGATTAATATTTATAATATAGCTTGAAATCAAGAAGTGTGATGCCTCCTGCTTTGTTCTTCTTTCTCAGGATTGCTTTGGCTATTCAGGGTCTTCGTATTTCCATATAAATGTTTGTAGTCTTTTTTTCTTCTGTAAAAAATGCCATTGGAATTTTACTATGGATTGCATTGAATCTGTAGATGGCTTTCAGTAATGTGGGCATTTTAAAAATATTAATTCTTTCAGTCCATGAGCATGGACTATCTTTCCATTTATTTGTGTCTTCTTCAATTTCTTTCATTAATGTCTTATAATTTTCAGTGTATAGATCTTACCCTTCTTGGTTAAATTTATTCCTAAGTATTTTATTTTTTCTGATAATATTATAAATGGGATTGTTGTCTTTATTTCTTTTTGAGATACTTTGCTATTAGTGTATAGAAACACAACTGATTTTTGTATGTTAATTTTACATCCTACAACTTTACTTAATTTGTTCACTAATCCTAACAGTTTTCTGGGGAGTCTTATGGTTTTCTATATATAAGATCATATCATTTGCAAACAGAGACAGTTTTACTTCTTCCTTTCCAATTTGGGCTCTTTTTATTTCTGACAGGAGTAATTTTAGATGAATAAGAAAACACAAAGTAAAATTCACTTTTAGCATAGAGTAAAACAAGTTCTCAAAATAAAATAGCTATTAAACATATGAAAAGATGTTTAACTTTACCCATAGTGAAATATAAATTAAAGCTATACTAGATACCATTTCTTACCTATCAGATTTACAAAAATTCAAAAGTTTGACAAGACACTCTGTGGCCCATATTAAGCAGAAACACACTCTCATACATTCCTGGTAGTTATACAAAATGGTACAGGATCTATTAAAAATTTTGTACTTATATTGGCAATATGTAACAAAATTACATACAAATTTATACTTTGACCTAGAAATGTCATTTCCAGGCATAAACCCTGAAGATACTCATAATGATACAGATACTCATAATGATACAAAAACACATAATGATACAAAAATACTTATGTAACAAAATTATTCATTGCAGCATTATATATGATTGTAAAGTACTGTGAGACATAAAATTCCATGTATAGTAACTCAATTAAATATCTCAATATTCTCTCTACTACAAGGAGCCAGCATTCCTAGAGGAAAATATTCCAGAACTGGAAAAGAAAACATTCAAGATGAGCCTGGAATATCTTGGTATGTCAGGAAATAAAGAAGTGTTCAATGGTTGATGCAGAAACAGTTCAGGTAATTGAAAGCAAACGTGACTCCCTAGGCTTCTATCTCCTAATGTTTCCTCCAAAAGCAATACAAAAAAAAAAAAAAAGGGAAAAATAAGACCATTCAAAAATCATGCCCTCAGAATTAAAGACAGATGCACACATATTAAAATAACTTTAAGTAAAAAAGAAAAATTACCAAAGCACAGAGTGTGACTTCTCACACTCAAGCTCCAGATTAAAGGAACTGAAGTGATATAACTAAATGAAATGAGTGACTCTGGATTAGATCCTGAATCAGGATGAAGAAAAAAAAATTGCCAAAAAGGGACACTACTGGGACTGTTGGCAAAAGTTAGATATGGAATATATTTTTGATACTAACATGGTAACAATGTTAAATTTTCCAATTTTGGTAATTGTATTGTGGATATGTTCATTGAACAGATACACTTAAATATTTACAGATAAAGGGGAATGATGTTTTCAACTAACTTGCAAATCATCCAGGAAAATATATTATATATATAATATAATAAGTGCATGTATATATAGAGAGATTATATATTTATATATAATAAATATATAGAGATAATATGAAATATATATGAGAGAGGAAACAGGAACTGTTCTATCCTCCTGCCTAAAACAACTAAATGTTGAACAAAATATATTTGTCACAACAGCATTCAAGCCACTGGACACCATTCAATGAAGGGCAGTGAATCCTGACAGGCTATAAATAAATTACTAAGCCCTAAGTTTACTGAATGGAGAAAATGTTCAGGCCACAGCCCAGGGAGAAAAAGCCATGCAGAACTCATTAATTTCTGTAAGTTAAAGAGACTAACTTCAGAGCACTGAGACACCAAGGTAAGTCAGGGTACTGGAGAAGAGATAAGGACAGAGTACCAGAGAGGAGAGAGCTGTATGAAGAAAAACTCAGGTGAACTGCAAAACACTCCCCCTTGATTATTTAGCTAAGTACAGATCAGCTCAAGGATATGAGGAAACTACTCTTTGCCAAGGAAATAACCCACCCATAAGGGAACTCTTGTCTAGAGCTCACACAGAGCCACAGAATCATGCCAGGTCCCAAGAGCCAGAGTGTAAAACCTCATAAATTGGAGAGCATCCTTTGAGCACTGAGAAGGTTCTTGCCTCAGCAGAGGAGATAAATTCACTCTAGATTACACAATATCTCTGGTGTTACCCAAAGGCAAGAGCCAAAAAGAGAAGTGAAATGGAAGACATAACAATAGAAACTAACCACAATGAAACACAGAGAGAAGATAGAAAAATAAATAAAAAGTATCAATAAACTGTGGGATAACTTCAAACAGCCAAATATGTATCAAACTCCCTGAAGGGGAGAAGAGGAAAGAGGGAGGACTAAAATAAAATTTTGAAAAAATAATGGCTGATATTTTTCCAGAGTTGATGAAAACAATAAATCCACAGATCTGAGAAGGTCAGCAAACACCTTGTACAAAGAAACATGAAGAACACTACACAAATGCACATAATATAGGTTTATAACATATGTAGTATGATCCATTTGCCTTAAGAACAATTATGATACTATACATAAAAAATGATGAAATTATTCCTCTTACCTTGGATACATTGCTGACATAATTCATTTGGACAGTACTTTCCTTATCAACTTGATTACAAAGGTTCTGTAAAGTAGATGCATATTCTTTGTCACTTTTTATCCTTAGGGCCATAAATTTCTTCACTGTTTCCAGTAACCGTAATTCCCAGTCTTGCAATTTTAACACAGCTTCATGTGAATTCTTCAGGTCACTCCCAAACCCCATTTTTGTAAGGCACTGTCTTATCCTCCACACTGCGCAAGTAAGCCTTCTAGTCAGCACATATCTGTGTATGTAAACAGAAAAAAAAAAATCTTAACTCAAAAGGAAATTAGTCTTCAAAGCAAAGTTATGCCTCATTATTTTTAGGGTAAAAAAAAATCATTACAACTGAATGTTTTCATCGCAAAGATCAGGTACAAGATGAGGATATCCACTCTCACCACTTCTATTCAACATGTATTGAAGGTTCTAACCAGTACAATGAAATAAATAAAATAACTTCCATTAAAATTGAAAAGGAAGAAGTAAAACCATATTTCCAGATACTATATTTGACAATGTATATAGAAAATCCTAAGGAATGCAATAAAAAAGTATTAGAACTTTTATTAGAATGAGTAAGAATACAGAGCAAGAAGATGAATACACAAAGATCAATTGTATTTCTATATATTAGAAATGATCAATCCAAAAATGAAATTTAAAAACAATTAAATTTACAACAGCATCAAAAAATTATTTAGAAATAAATCTTTCACTATAAATGTAAAACTTGTCTTAAAACTATAAAATATTTATTTTAAAAGAAATTAAAGAAGACCTAAATAACTGGAAAGATTCATGTTCATGGATCCTAAAGACTTAATATTGTCCTAAAGACTTAAGAAGGAATATTCTCCAATTTGTTATTCAGGTTTAACTTCTTAATATATATTAACATCTAAGCTAGCTCTTTTTTTTGCAGAAATTGACAAGCTAATACTAAAATTTATATAGAAATTCAAGAAAGCCAGAATAAAAAAAAAATCTTGAAAAAGAAGAACAAAGTTGGAGGACTCACACTTCTTGATTTCAAAACTTACCGAAAAGCTACAGTAATCAACACAATGTGACATATGGATAGACACAGACATCAATGAAATAAATAGAGGGTCTAGATCTAAATCCTCACATTTATGGTTAATTGATTTTCTATAAGGATGTCAAGTCTATTCAATGGTGAAAAACGTCTTTTCAACTAATGATGCAGCTGGGTTTCCACATGCAAGAGAATGAAGTAGAATGCCTTCCTTAGAACATACACAAAAAATTAACTTTAAAAGGATCATAGATCTAAATATCAGAGCTAAATCTATAAAACTCTCAAAAGAAAACAGTAAATATTCATGACCTTGGCTCAGATGATGGTTTCTTAGATACAACACCAAAAATACAATAACAAAACAAAAATACTTGAATTGGATTTCATCAAAATTTAAAAATTCTGTACTTCAAAGGCCACCATCAAGAAAGTGAAAAGACAACCCATAGAATGGGAGAAAATATTTGCAAACAATATATGACAAGGGACTTCTATCTGGGATATCCATATGTAAAGAATTCTGACAATTTAATAATAAAAGACAAACCAATCAAAAATGGGCCAATGATCTGAACAGAGATTTCTCCAAAAAGATTTACAAATATCCAATGTGCACATGAAAAGATGTTCAAAATAACTAGCCATTAGAAAAATACAAATCAAAACCACAATGAGATATCACTTTATATCATTAGTACGTCTATAACCAAAAGGACAGATAGTATCAAGTGTTGCAGACAGTGAAGAAATTAGAAACCTCACACACTGCTGGTGGAAATAAAAAATGTGCAGTTCCTCAAAAGTTAAACATAGAGTTATCATATGACCCAGAAATTACACTGTTAAGTATACAGAGGGAACCAAAAAAAGTATATACATTTTAAGAAAGGAAAAACTATTAATATTGTAATACTCAATATATACCATTAACAAAAGATGAATACAAGTCATATGTATACATTTTTTTGGCACTCCCAGTATACCTAAGAGAAATGAAAACATGTTCCCACACAAAAACTTGTACATAAATGTTTAAGCAGAATTATTCATAATAGCCACAAAATGAAAATAATCTAAATGTCCATCAACTGATGAATGGATAATTAAAACATGATATATCCATACAATGAAATACTGTTTGACAATAAAAAGGAATGAAGTATTGATACAAGCTACAACATGGAAAAGCTTTGTAAATATTATGCTAAGTGAAAGAAGCCAGAATCAAAAACTGACATAATCTATGATCCATTTATATGAAATGTCCAAAATTTAGAGACAGAAAGTAGACTGGTGGTTATCTAAGGCTGGTAAGTTTGGGAAGAAAGGAAGAGTGACTGCTAATTGGTACTGGATTTCATTTTGGGGTGATGAAAATGTTCAAAATTGATTGTGATGATGGTTGCACAACTCTGTGAACAGATTACAAATCATTGAATTGTACAGTTTAAATGGGCTTCACTATGTGAGTTTTACTTCTGTAAGTTGTTTTGAAAAAATCACTGTAGCTTACCATGATCATCTAAAGGTCAGTTAGCAGAAACTTCACCAAAATAATCTGCTTGCCTCCTATAAGTCCTGGAAACTATAATAGAATTTATTTTGCTCTCCAGCCGCCTAGAATTTCAGTCAGTGAATCTTTCAGGGCCAGTTAGAAGAAATGAAGAAATGTTTTTTATGTTTAGTTCTTTCTGGCTCATCCCTACCAAAAGTCAATTTCTTGTTAATTCAGCTGAGATCCTCTAAGCTAAACAGAAAAATGAGAAGAGGTTTATCTTTCTAACCTCAGTGATATCATCTAAAAAGATGGTAAAAATGTGGGTTTTCCAAATAGAGAACAAATTACAATTTTTCCCCAACTGAAAACTGTCCAGTTTTATGATCTAGCAAACAAGTAAGTGGGGGGAACGGTAGAGGTAAACTGCACTTCATCAAAGTTTCCGAAGTAGCATCCAGGACACTAAATGGACTTTTAACATAAATAAGTCAATGTCAAGTAATGAACTATTCACTTTAATATACAGAATAATTCCAGGTTTTCACTTTATATGTAGTAGCTTTTAAATTTTTATTTTGCTATAGTGTATCTTTAGGGGCCACAAAAATTTACAATGAACATTTTTCTGTTATTTTACCTACAGCTCAACTAAGTCTCAGGGAAGATATACTCTATCTCATCCAATGTTTTCAATGAAGAATAAGGAACATTGTTTGAGGCTGAGAAAAGGTGAAACATTTTACTTTTTATTTTTAACTGTATCTGAGATTGTAGTTCATTTTATTCAGTACTTGGGGAAAATACTGCTTCTGCTTCCAAGTACATCTAGCTCTGGTCTAAGCTTTGACAATATTTTTTTTTCTTCCATTATCGGAAATTCAAAAGGACTGTAGAGAGCTCAAAAAAATAAAAAGGGAAACAGAATCTGGAAACACTCCAGCCCATCCTAAGTGCTTATTTATATACACCAATATTCTAGGTCAGGGTGAGTATAAAATAATTTAATATATGGTACCACTCTTTCAGATATAACAAATAATAAAAAAATTAAACAATTCTATAATAAATTAGGACTATGTGTAATTGTTGCATTGGTAGAACTTATAAATACTTTGGGAATTAAAAGAATAGTATCCTACAGATAATTTCCCCATAAATGTCAAATGGCATTTATGAGACTATTCATTTCAGTAGTGTTTGAAAATAACAAAAAAAAGGGGGGAACGGGGCGGGATCTGGAACTATCTATCAAAAGGAACTGATTAACTAAATTACTATCAAGGCTGCTGCATTTGGTTATAACTGAATTAATTCTAGGGGGTGCCACAGAAATCATAGTCTCTGAAAATGTGTTCAGTGTCCAACCTTCACAACCATATATGCTGGTCCTGATCATGGTATATTCATTCTGTGGAATATTATGCAGCCCTAATAAAAAATGAGGAAATATTTTGCGTATTAATCTGGAACTATCATTAAGAACTACTAATTTTAAAGAGTAAGGTATAGAACTTGGTATTGTGTAAAAAGAAGGAACAATAATAGAAATTCATTTTGTTTGTAAGTGCATAAAAATATTTCCAAAAGAACACATAGTGGCTGGGACATAGGATTGGGAGGGAGACTTTTCACTGAATAAATACCTTTTTGTACATTTGAATTTTGTCCTAAGTGAATGTATTGATGTTACCTATTGAAAAAACTAATTAGTTAAAGAATTTTTGAAGAGAAAAGGAAAAAAACAATTAAAGCTTGACTAGCCCAGAAGATGGCAAGATAGGAGGTAGGGCTAGAGTAACGACCACGATTTAGATATTATACAAAGTCAAAAGGGTAATGTATTTCAGGAAGTAAAAGCAGTATGAGGCAAAAAATAAAGAAAATATGAAGAAAGCAATTTCCAAAATCTAGCTATATGTGACAAGCAGTGGAAAATGGCGTGTCAATTCAGTTCCTGCTATTCCACCATTAAGAAAATTAATAAGGCTCAAACTCCTTGAATTAATTGATTTTAAGGCAAAATGATAAGGTCATGAATGTGATTTTTAAAATTATTAATTTGCTGGTGTTACACACGTATGCTCAGTTTGTAAAATTTCATCAAGCTGAGGTGAGCACCTGTGATTTGTGCACTTTACTATACATATGTTATAGTTCAATTAAAAAGAGAGACATAGGAGACGATTTTAATTTGGAATCTACGTACAGAATAGCTTGAAGAGAGAAAAAACATAAAATGAAACACAAGAAGCCAAATTAATAAGTTATTACAGCGATATAGCTTGAGAAATGAGGATCTATTATTAACAATGTCATTGAGAATTAAGATGAAAAGAGCCTTGAGCTGGTGAATAGATTTAGGGAACAAAAGAGAGGCGATCCAATGACAACTTCACAGCTTTAATTAGAAATGATGACACTATCAGTAGATATGGAAGGATGAGAATATAGAGCTACTTTAAAGAAAATACATTCACTTCAGCAGGAAATAAAATACTAAGGCTAAAGATCCAAATTTGAGAGAGTCAGTTGCTTAAAGGTTAGAGATGAAAAGAACTGAATGTTGACAGAAAAGCAGACTCAAGGACAAAAAACCCATGAGGATCTGTCAATTGAGGAACAGGAGGAAGAAAGGCCAAACAAAGGATACAGATTAAGTAAACAAAAGAATAAGAGATCTTTGACAGTTACAGATGCTAGGATG